TCACTTGGCTCTCAGAGCAAGGAGCCGGAGGTTAACACAGACCTTATTGGGTATGCATGCGTCATTTTTCCTCATCCTGTTTTCATTACAGCCCGAAAAAAGCTTAATCATAGTTCTTTAGCAAATCCTTCGGACTCCCGTCTTCTTTACCGGCCAAACCGTCTTGGTCAAACTCCTTATTCTATCGATCAAGGAAATCCCCAACCTATACTGCCTTTGATCTTTGGACCAATTGATGCCGAGCAACAAATGGATACTATGTTAGGATACGATGTTTATAGTAACGTACTCGCAGATATCGGTGAGTCCTGCCCCATTGTTTTCAATCTGTCAGTCCAGTATTTTCATCACTGAGGAAAGTTTCAGTTTGTGAGCCGTCTCTATCTCTTCCCCTAACCGTTGGCTTATATGCAAAATGGGGATCTGGAAAATCCGTTTTACTCGCGAAACTTAAAGATTCGATGTACAGTTTTTCACGTAACTGGCTCGAGGGAGCTCACTTGACGTAAGTGAAACAAGTTATTGTGAAGTTTGACTTGTATTAATCGATGTTTGTTTTGATATTCTAGCACTTTTCTATTCAGCTTATCAGCACTTATATTCTTCTACATCATCTTATTTTGCCTTGTCCTCACGATGACATTTTCCACCATTTTCGCGGTTTTTGCCAGTTTACCTGCACTTATTGCGGTTTGGATAATTGGACTATGCCTACTTATTTTATTGATTTCATCGTACTGTGAGTTTTCCTTGTTGTTGTTGTTTCCAAAGTAGTTTTTAATTCTTGTTCGCTCAAAGATCGCTCAGCGTGTACCTTGAAGATACGCTACGAGGCCATTTGATGTGTAGACGCCCCGCCTCCGCCCCGCTACCCCTCCTCCTTGGACATGTCAGTGCTGTCTACGAGCACAGAGGATGTAGTTTTTTGCTGCTCAAAAACTGTGACAATGACGCCGTCCCATTGTAACGATGGCAATGCCCCGCCCACTGCCCCATATCACACCCAATGTTGATCTCCAAAAGCTTCCTTGAGGTGTGGTTGTTCAGCTACTAGCTCCTCCCGAGCCCTCTGTTTGCCGCATGCTCGTACTACTACGCTCACATGGCTCTTCTTCTAGGCATCTCAGAGGGTATCCTTCGTTTTCCTTCACTATTAGGTTAATCATCAACTTGTCGACAGTGTTTGCGCCACATTGCCCTCCCCCAACCATTTTTTTCTTGCGGAAGGTATCTTTAACGTATTGATGAAGATCTAGCAATTTGTTAGCTGCTGTTGGGTTGTCCAGAAGGTAAACGAGGAATTCAGGAGATCCCCGTGGTGCCCGCGTTTTATCTCTACTTTCTCAAACGCCTACAGTTCACGACCTTTATGTCGTCCTTGGCTATGGCTCCTACGTTTCCACGCTTTTCATGGAGTTCCCCTCCCCTATCCAGGATCAGGGAAAAAAATCTGGATATTTCAAGTTAATTTGAAAATTGTACTCCTTTCACTGCCAACATTCAAGGTTTCATTTACTACGGCAGTGAAATACGTGGATGGTCTGCTCCTAGTCAAATAGCGAACTCACTTTCACGTTTTATATACCGTGTTCGTCTGTTGTGGAATGTTGCTACTTTATATGCCCCCATGCACTCCGAAAACGATATTGCGAGTAATCCTGTGAGGTATGTTGCGGCATTCGAGGTTTTCCCGTGAAAATTTATGTGATTTAATTGTGTTAAATGATGACATTTAGCTTTCTCTTTGCTGATTATCATCGCCTGTCATCGATTGGTGGTGAGCAAGCCTTAGCGAAAATTGTGGCCACATTGTTTGAAGCGGCTGAAACGCACTTTGGGGTTCTACCCGTGCGGCTGTTTTGCTCGTTAAGGACCGCCTATCGTGAGTGTTTAAGCCTCGAAGGTATCACTTCAGAACATGAGAAGATCGACGATGATGTCGAATCGAGTTGGAGAGAAAATCCGGAGCTCCGGACTTCAGATTCCCTCTCTCAATCTCGATTCGATACCTTTCTACCTGCTTTCACTTTCATGGGCACTTTCCCCTAGCGTAGCGCTGTAAGCCTGGTATTTGCTCCCCATTTTTCAGCTGGGCAACATGGTGCACTGAGGAAGCATTGTGGTGTGCCAATAGTTCTACTCGTTGGTATTGCTATATTTATGCTGCTCTGTGCTGAAGTGTTTATGACACTGTGGTTGTTTAGTGACAGAGATGCGAATTCCGGAGCGTAAGCTTTTTTCACTTGTTAGACTCTAAATTCATGGCTTTGAACTGGTCGACTTCGTGAACTTATGGTTGATCGTCCCTTTCATGACTTATCTCTCGGAGGAAGAGTTCCCAATCGTTTTTTGCAGGTTGTAGGGTAGAGCATTACTGCGTCCTGTGGAAAGTGATACTAGTCAAAAAAAGCAATATAAACCGTCGACAATGCCCATAAGAATTCTGTTAGCTCAGAGTATTATTGAGCAAATTATGTGTAGAAAAGGGAAGCAGATCACGTCATGAGTAGCGAATATGTAAAACGATGGTAAAACGAAATGATAAAGGCGGATCCAGCTTATGGAGGTGTGTACGAGGACATGCTCTACGATTGCGAATCACCCCAACTTGTGCAACGAAGAGTTCCTACACCTTAGGCGATCGTGGAGACTGTCTTTGAATACGAAACTTCCAGACTCTTCGTTGCTGCTGTGGCATTCATGATTGTATTCCTCATGCTGACGATTTATCCTGTAATTATTATGATGAGATATGGATACACAAATGTTCCTCGACGACGTGTAAATGCGGCTGCGAGAATGGTTCACAAACTACGCTTCGAAGGTCTTATGCAAAAGTTGCAGTCGGAGGTTAGTGCTCGTTTTTCTCGATTAGGCCTGTCTGCTTTTGGAATCAGTGAGGCTACACCATTTAATAATCATGTTGACCCAACGAGCTATAGGGCTGCGTTCATACTTTGCATCTGCGTACGCCCCCATATACCTGCTTATGTCACCGTCTCGAAGGACTAGGGAAGTGTAGGTATCGATCTGCGAACGCCAGCACACAGCGGCATTTTCGTGGGCAGTTTTGCTGAAGTTCAAAAGTGCCCGCGAAAACGCTGCTGTACGCTGGTGAACCCTATCGTTCGCCTCATCGATATCTATACTTCTAGTTCGCGTACGCTGGCATACGCTGGCACAAAGAATCCAACGAGGCCTAATGAAGGCTCAGTATTAGCAAGTGCATTTGTTCTTTCGCATATATTCAGTTTCATTCCAGGTAGACATATTGGCTGATATGATAAGGTCTCTAGATGCATTCACAAGGAGTCAGACTCGGCTTGTTGTTGTTGTGGACGGTCTCGATAACTGCGAACAGGTTAGCAACAGGTTTTTTATACATTACTCGGTATACCCTAGTTCGCTGCGGATGAAAGGGCGTGTCAGGCATTATGGGCATGTCATGGCGTTAACTCGTTTTTTGGCAGTTGTTGAAGGGGGTCTGCGACTACAGTTGGTAGAAGCGAGTGATACGAATGATCTGTACAGTATTGTCACTCGCTGGAGTCAACAACTAGTGCAGAACGGTTATGGCACCGCTCCCTACCCACCCCCTTTGCTACACCCCTTCGTCCGCAACAAACTACATTTTATATCATTCTTTTTGCTATTGCAAAATTATTGCAGGAGCGTATGGTACAAACGCTGGACGCTTTGGAATTACTATTTTCTGCTCGTAAGCATAGACCTTTCATAACGATCATAGCTGTTGATCCACATATAATCGTATCGGCCATTAATCATAACATGCACTCTGCTCTTACTGGTATGTTTTTTCATGGCAGTAGTCGAATCTTATTTTTATTTTCGAGAAATAGGAGCCATTTCTTGCTTGAACTGCAGCTAATATGAGATCGTTGTGCTTGAATGCTTGACTATGTTCTCAGGTACCGAACTTACCGGCCATGATTATTTGAAAAATATAGTCAACATGCCGCTATATCTGCATAACTCAGCATTACGCCAGCTCCAGAACAAATTGAAGGTTAGTCGATGATTGATATTACGCCTCCTGTTCAGAAAAGGATTGTACACGTTTCAGGAAAAGCGTGAGTCTTTTGCCGACTGGAAAGAGCGCTATAGGCGCCAGGACACTTTTCATGGGTCGCATCTGTCACTGTCGGATGGTCGTCAAAGTCGGAAGGTATCTTTTTGAGTCGAGATTAGGCTGCGTTCATACTTTGATTCAGCACGGCAAAGTACGCCAGCGCATGCCAGCGTACAGCAGCGTTCCGAGCGACTATGACAGTATGATATCGATCTAACAAAAGTTAGCGTTTTCGCGGGTAGTTCGAGATAGAGCAAAAGTCGCTGGTGTACTTTCGAAACACAGGCGTACGCTGACGCAAACTATGAATGCAGATCGGGGTTCTATTTTTCCGTCGATTCCAAAGGTGGCTGAGAGCTTCTGGGACGTTTCTTTCTTTTTCTTCTTTTTTCCTTTTTTATCATGTGTAGGTGTGGTGTGTTGATGCAGTGTGTTGATTCAGGCAACAATTGTTGTTGGTACACGTAGTATCGGAGAGTCACTTCTCAACGATGACTATTTTTCGAATATGAATCCTCGAGCTATGAGAAGAATTGTCAATGCCCTCACTTTAACAGGTCAGTTTTAAATATTCTATCTCCGGCGGCCAACTTTTCAACTCTTTAGCGGAAGAAATCTAACTCTCAGCTTCAGGTCGACTTATGCGAGCATTTGAGATTGATTTCTCGTGGCTGTCGCTTGGTCACTGGGTCTCGTTGTTGGAGCAGTGGCCTAGTAGGATGTGTTGGTTGATCGATCGTGCTGTTGACATCAACAATAACGGATTGACGCTAGCAGAGGTACTTATTTGGAGAGAATTTGTGGTTTAAGCAGTGGAAACGATAGCTTGAGCGAGGGGTCGCTGTCATTGGTGGGAAGGCTGCAAGAGGGCGTTTGGTCTCACCACATTGACCCCCTACACCAATGATGCTGGCAGCAACCTCCTCGCCTCCAGCATAGTGCCATGCCTTTGAATCCATTACTAGGTACCTGTGGTAGTTTGAAGTTGGATTAGTGTGCGGCTATAGCCTATGAAAAGTGCCCATTTTATCGGTCATTCACGGCAGTCATTCTTACTCTGCGTCAGCTTTTGAGCGTTCCGAGCGTACGGCAACGTCTTGAGTTTTACGAGCGAATAGAGAAGCATAGGTATCGAACTAGCGTTTGTAGTGTTGTGGGCAGTTTCGAATTTTTCGCGGCTAATGCCGTTTAGATGCGGTGATTTTGGCTGCGAGCTCATTTTTAAAGTGCCTAAATCACCAAATCCGCTGAAAACTTGTATATAGAGGTAATCTAACATCCTGATTACGACTATGACATTCATTCTTGGCGCTGGCGCTAATGGATGACACTACGGTTATCTGCGCTCTGCTAAGGCTGAGCCCAGGAGGTAATCGTAGTGTCCTCCTTAGCGCCAGCGCCAAGAATGAATGTCATTGCCGTAATCAGGATGAGATTACCTCTGTGTACATCTTTTCAGCCGATTTGGTTGTCCAGGCACTTCAGAAATGAGCTCGCAGCCAAAAGTCAGCGCGTCCAAACGGCATGAGCCACCTTTCGCGGGCAGTCGTGAAAAGGCTTGCTTAATGGTCACAACGCTGGATCAAAATCTATACTTTCCTCGTCGCACAAAAGCCTGACACAAGTATGAACGCAGCCACCGATGCGCGCTGCGGTGCATTTCTCGAGAATCGCAATCGTTGAACCCTAGTCAAGAATATTCGGGTTTTCTGTTCATCACTTTGAGACAATCGTCAAATCAAGAGCATTCAAGTGTACAAGCTTTTAATATATGTTGATAATATAAATTAGTTAATATATGTTCAGGTATATCATCAGCTTAAAGACCATATCCCGAAGAAAGACGCCTTAATCGAGTTGGATAGGAATCCGGATAACTTTGAGGTGAGCAGTTAGTATCACTCTATTCACTGGTTATCATTTGCTATTT